GTCCGCAGTAGTTTTTATCAGGGGCAGGGCTACCCTGGACGGGCCCGATGGGGCCAGGATGTCGACCACCGGATCCGGATCCACCTCAATCTCCTCAGCTTGGATCGAGAGGCTCTGGGTTGCACGTGTAAGTAGCTGTTGGAGGATCCTGTTGTCCTCTAGGGCCAGTGCCGCTGAAGTACCCGTGACCGGCTCATCCGGAGAGGACGAGGAGGAGATCACCTGCAAAGGGCCTTCCTCTATACCCTCGGCTCCCATAGGGGCCTGCGGCACACAGTACTCTGGTTGCCTGGCCGGTGCGGGTGCAGGATGCGGCACCGCGGCCGGTACTGGAGTCGACACCGAATGATGAGGCGTGCTGGGCGGTGCCTGCGGCGTCGGAACCATGGTCCCCGCCGGTGCCTGACTAGGCAGTGCCGGGGTCTGTTATGGCACACTCCTGTCAGACGGCGGTGCCAGTGGTGGAGGCATTTGAGCTGGAGCCATCGACGTCGATAAGACCGATGCGGACCTTGAGCGGGGCCCATACGCCTATCCCACGGACTGATGGTAGGCCCAAGGAGTCCAGAACGGCCACTGGGGGGCGGTTGCCACTGCTGTTGCCACTGCTGCGGATAAGGCTGGAGGCTCACCCGCGAGGTCAACCGCCTGCTCCTCGATCTACTGGAGCGGTACGACTCCGCCTCCGAGTCTGAGGTCTCCAAATAGGAAGACCTAGGGGGAGCAGTACCCACTGTCGCTGGAGAGTGGTGCCGCTGGGCTGGAGAATGTTCTCTCTGCTCTGGTGCCGCTGGGGTGGCGTGGTGCGGGGACCGTGGCAACAACATAGCCGGCTTGCCCCGTGATTGTATAGAGGGCCGGGCCATGGTCGGAGGCTCTTTCCACCAGCGCGGCGACACCAGCATCGGGAGGCTTAGTAAGTCTGAGGCTGCCTCGAACGCCTCCGGCGTCGATGGGAGGCACATTTCCTCGACGAGGTCTGGGGATGTAGGCCTGTCCGGACTCAACCGTGCCCTCTCCGGGGTGGGAGTCAACGGAGTAGCAGAATGAGTCTGTAGCACGGCCTGTCCCGCAGCACTCGTGGACAGCGCCGGCCCTTTAGGGTCCTGGTGGGGTGAACGTCCCCTCACCGGCCTCTTCTTTTTAACTGGCACCGGGGATGGTGAACGGTGCCTCACTGACGCCGATTTCCTATGTGCCGACGCTCTCCTGTGCCGGGGTTATGAGGTTTTGGCCTCATGATGTATTACCGGTGCCGGGGCGCTGTGCACCGACGATGAAGTGCTGGGCACCAGGTCAGCCGGCCCAGGGTCCGAATGTGGCTGCAGGGCCGCTTCCATTAGCAATACCTTGAGCCTTTGCTCTCTGGCTTTGAGAGTCCTGGGGCGAAATGCTCTGCAGATAGTGCACCTGTCTCTTTGGTGGCTCTCCCCGAGGTACCGTAGGCAAGAAGAGTGCGGGTCACTCTTTGGCATGAACTTCCCGCAGTCCTTGCAGAGTTTAAACCCTGGGGACCCGGGCATGCCCCAGCGGGGCAACGAGTACGTTGAGGAAACCCCCCAACAACTATCTATCTATACTAACTCTAAAACTAACTAAGCTATTTACAAGAAGAAAACGGGACACTGCCAAGGTTGCTGAAGAGCAAGCGAAGTTCCAGCTAGCTGTCACCGGCGGTAAGAAGGAACTGAGGGGGTGGGGGGTCGGCGGACCCCTATATACGGCGCCATGAAGGCGCCACTCCAGGGGGTGCTGAAGCCGATCCTATGGACGCTGCTATGGTAAAAATCTTCCGACTGGCGTGCACGTGGCGCGCACACACCTGCTTGGAATGGACATGAACAATCACTCGAAGAAGAACTTGTTAATTCTAACAGACAATTCTGCGACTATGTTTTACATAGACAGGTAGAAGCACAGTTGGCCCAGTTATGCCAGGAGGCAATTTGCATCGCTGCTTACCTTCCAAGGAAGCAGAACACGTTGGTGAATCAACTGACCAGGACCTTCTCTGAACACCACCAGTGGTTTTTACTCACAGAAAGACCAAATCCATCTTCCAGCTCTGGGAGCCTTCCCAAGTGTACCTGTTTTCAACAAAATCCAACGAAAATGCCATCAGTTTTGTTCCCAGGGGGGTCTCACCCCAGGCTTACTGATAAATACTTTTCTGCTACCCTGGAGCGACCCACTCCTGTATGCCTTCCCTCCGATTCCCTGGCTGCTCAGAGTGTTGTTCAAAGTCAAACAAAACCCTGTGCGTCTCATCCTTATAGCACCGGCGTGGCTCCAACAACAGTGGGACTCGACCCTACTGACCTCAGTCAAGCCTCTGCTGTCTCTCTCACTGGAGCCAGACATGATTTCTGAGGATCATGGCTGCCTGCTCCATCCCAACCTATGAGCCCACCACCTGACAGTATGGATGCTTCATGATTAACACCTTTGGAGAAATCCTGTTCTAAGGATGTTCAGAATGTATTTCTGAATAGTAGAAAACCCTCAACTGGGGCACTTACCTGGCTAAATGGAAATGCTTCTCTATTTGGTCCTGTCAAAAAGGTGTATCCTTACACCATGCACCCTTGAACCTCATACTGGACTATCTCCTATGTGTAAAACATCAGAGTTTGGCAATTAGCTCTGTAAGAATACATCTGGCAGCTAGTTCAGCCTGCCATACCTCAGTGGATAATAGATACCTTTTTCCCAAACCTGTCATTACCAGATTCCTAAATGGATTGGTCAGATTGTACCCACATGTGCAAGATGCTATACTTCCTTTGGAGTCTGAACTTGGTCCTAGCAAAGTTGATGGGACCACATTTGAATCCCTTGCAACTTGCTCTTTGCTCCACCTCGCTATGAAGGTAGCATTTTTATTTGCCATTACCTCAGTCAGAAGGGTGGGCGAGTTGAGATCCCTAGCATCAGAGTCTCCTTATACAGTTTTCCATAAGGATAAAGTTTATCTTCGCCTTCACACAAAATTTCACATGACGGTAATCTCTAATTTTCATGTTAACTGGGCAGGCTATTTGCTGACGTTCCATGCATATGGAGATGAGGAGAGACTTCATTCACTGGATGTGAAAAGGGCTTTAACTTTCTACCTGGAGCATACTAAGTCATTTAGATCCTCCACGCAGTTGTTTGTTGTGGACAGAGCTAAGGGCCAACCAGTTTCCACTCAGATAATCTCATCTGGATTATTTGGATCTCTTCATGCATTCGTTTATGCTACTAATTGGCTAATATAACCCCGCCAGCTAGAGTACTGGCAAATTCTACTTGCGTCCAGGTATCTTCAGCAGCTTTCTTGGTGCGCGTACTGATCATAGATATTTGTGAAGTAGCAACTTGGTCATCGATCCACACTTTTACTTCTCATTGTGCCAGTTCCCATCAATCTTGGGATGATGCCAATTTCAGGCAGATTGTCCTATAATCACTGTTCAGGTAGACGCTGAGCCCACCTCCATGTTTGTCTGCTTGTAATCACCAACAGTAGAATGGACATGTGCAGAGACTCATGAAAAACTGGTTACCTACCTTCCTATAACTGTTCTTTGAGCTGTGTTGCACATGTCCATTCCATGATCCGTCCTCTTTCCTCTCTCTTTTGGAGTGTATCCAGTACAAAGGAAGTGAGAAGGGTTCTGGTCAGCTCTGCCCTTTTATACCCGCACACAGTGGTGTGTGGTGACAGAGGGTGCTTGAGCCACCTTGATGGGTCCTGGTGAGGAAAAGAGTTATCTGACAACTGAGCACGTGGCATGCAACTACAGTGGTATGGACATATGCAACACAACTCAAAGAACAACAGTTACAGAATCATTTTTTATTAAATACAAAATGGAACATTTCCAACAGGAGAGAGTGAGAGAAGCCCACCCCAGAATACCTAGTAGCCTGCTGGTTTGGACATTCACCTGAGCTGTGAGAGACCAGGGCTCAAGTGTCTGCTCCAAACAAGCGGTGCTGGGATTTCAATCTGTCTCTCCCACATTCCAGGTGAGCACCCTACCCACTGGACTGTTGTTGGTCTTGCTGTTTTTTCACAAGAAAGGGGTGGTTTAGGTTCCCTACTCTAGGAGAGCATTCACAGCTCAGACTCCCAAGCAGAACAAGGCACCTCCCTCCAGTCCATTGGTCAAGAACCTAAATATCTTTGAGGAGTTCTATGCCCTGCCCGTCTTCTGCATTTAATTCCTGGTTAACTTAGCCTAAGTTTGTTGGTTTCTGAGACTTCCTTTCTTGGATGCCTAACTCTGGCCATACAATGCAAGGAGAAACTGGGTGCCTCACTCAGGGCTGAGAATTCCACCAGGCAGCAGAGCACCTAAGGGGTTAGATATTGCAACACTTAAGTACCTTTGTGAATCTAGCCCTTTATGTATAGCCAGGCCTTCAGCCTGCAGTCCTGCAAGCTTCTCTGTACATGGGGTCTGCCCATGTGGAACTGTCCACAGCATTATAAGCATCAGTTTCCCCTGTTATTTTTATGGGATTTTCATACAGCAACAGGGAAAAAATAAAATAAAATATGATTGTCCAACCACAAAAAGTAGCAAGGGGATGTGTGTGTCAGAAGAAGGGGTGGTTCATGAAGGGGTAGTTTGATTTTGGTTTTTAATTGACTAGATTTAAAGTTGATCATTTTAAGTGCAATGTAAAAAGTAAATAAATAACGTAACTAGGGGTTAAGGAGCTGCTCTGGGCTCAGCCTGCCAGACGTGCAAGGCATGCACAGGCTGGAGGAGAAGATTAAAAAGGGAGCAGAGCAGCTCACTTGTGGGCATACCTGGGAAGAGGACAGACTGTCAACCCTCAGCCCCTGAGCAAAGGACTGACTGAAGGCAGGAGCTTCCCAGACAACCACTGCCTGAAGCCCTCCCTGAGGGAAGTGAGGGCCAGTCTCGACCCTGAGCAGGATTCATTCCCCTCTGTCTCATTAATTCAGTTTATTTACATTAATTCCCCCTGCTTTTTATTCACAGACAACCCTGGAAGGGAAGAGACTTTTAAGTGACCTGGTCAGAGGGCTAGGTCACAGGAAGAGACATGTTGCTGCAGAAGTGGAGCAGCCACTAGTGGGAGACCTGCAGTGGAGAGAGAGCTGCTATTTCATGCCTGGACAAAAGGAAGCACCAGCAGTGAGTGGACCCCTTCTCAAGGACACACAAAGCCTCTGCTGTAGGGGCAGGGGAACAATGGAAGGCAGTATACAGAGTCCCTGATGTAATTTTATGCTTTGTTGTGTCTGGATCATCTGCCATATGAGATCTCACTCTGACACAAATTTAATTAACAAACTCTAGCTTTATTGTGGCTGCTTACAACATGGCTTCTTCAGCCTCATAGCTTTGCTACACTTGCAGATGTAGAGTGCTGGGAGTTAAACCAGCCTTTGGAGATCGCAGCAGGGCAAACGCTGCTGTGTGTTTACACTGTCAGCTGTAAGTGCACGGGCGTGGCCACATTAGCAGCTCTTGCAGTGCTACAAAGTGTGGTAGCCAGTGTGCAAGTGGCTGCAACGTGCTTTTCAAATGGGGGGGTTGGAGTGTGACAAGGAGTGTGTTGTGTGTATGTGTGGGGAGAGACAGTGTGTTCTGGGGGGCAGAGAGTATGTCAGCATGCTGCCTTGTAAGTTCAGACAGCAGCAGACCTCTCTCCCCCCCCACACACTCACAACAGCAGCATTCCACACAATTTGAAAACAATGAGAAGAGTGGCCACTTGACTTCAGGGGATTATGGGACGTTTCCAGAGGGCAATCACTGCGCAGTAATGCAACACGTTGTCCACACTGATGCCCGGGCATTTCAGCTGGAGCGCAGCAAGCTTTATGCTTCTCGTGGAGGTTGATTACCAGGAGTGCTCCAGCTGCAGAGTTCAGGCACTCTACGTGCCTTGCCGGTGTGGACACCTCAGGAATTAGGGCGCCCAAGGCTGCTTTAATGCGCTCTAACTTGCAAGTGTAGCCAAGCCCTCAGACAGTTCCCCAGGAGGTGTCGCTTCCAAACAGTTTCCCACAGAAAACAATATGCTGCCTGAAAGGGGCTGTTAGCAGTTTCATATTGCTACATCCCTTCTCTTTAAAAGAAAACCGTCTAGCACCCCAGCAATAACTGATAACCTAATCTAACATATTCCTTTCTGATGCTGACTGTTCTTGCAGTTACTGTATCCATCACCTTACAAGTTTGTCTATCTATATACCTGTACAACTTGGAAGTCCATCACACAGAATCCCTCAGATGAGCAGGTCTTTTAACAATCTGCCCTCCTCTAGTACAGTGTGATTCACTGGTACCGCCCTGGTGCTGCCTTCCTCCTGTCTGGTCAACCACAGTCTCTAGGCTTGGTGTTGCTGGAGTCTCCATCAAAACACCCTCTTCTTCCTGTTTTTCCTTTGGTAGGCCTCTGACACTGTCCTCTTCTACAACTCTGGCTCGGGATTCTCCTGCAGTAGAACACTACCGTGTGTTGTCTGTATTGTCCTTAGAGGTTTCTTTTGTTTTCTTGAGGTGCCTACAGTTTCACCTCACTATCTCTCCATTGTCCATGTGGACTTGATGAAATCTCTGTTTTCCTGCTTGCACCACTGTAGCTTTGTGCCAGAACTTATCCTGTTTTGTTAATGGTTGTATATGCACTTTGTCACCTGACTCCAGATCTGTTGTTGTAAAACACTTGTCTTTTTCTGTTGGTTTCTCCATAGTCGCCAAGGAAAGCACCGCAGTACCCAAGCTCTAACAACCTTCTGCTTGTCAGCAAGAGTGTCTTCGTTCTCTGGCTCATCAGTCTTTGGGCCGGCTACAATTTAGGCGTTGTGAGGGAGTATTCCTATGATTAGTAGTGCTAAGTATGGGTCAGCATCTGCAGTTTTTGCTTTTCTCAACAGTTACTTTAACAGTTTTTACTGCTGAATCTACTTTGCTATTGCTTTGAGGATACCCCGGTGAAGATGTTATGTGATCAAAATCCCAGTTCTTACTGAACTTCTGGAACTCTTCTGAAACAAATTGTGGTCTGTTATCAGAAAATACGATACCTGGTATTCCATTCCATGCAAAGTGTGCTTTTCTTTTCCATGTGACTGTTCTGGATCCTGTGTTTGGTAAATAGTCTATCTCCCAGAAATTGGAAAAATAGTCTACAATGATCATGTCCTTTGTCCCCAAAGGTAAAACAAATCCACTCCCATCTTCGCCAATGGTCTTTCTGGAACTTTTTGCTGCCACGGGGTCTCTTTTGTTTGACAGTCTTCCCAGGATCTGTATACATCACACTTTTCCACGAATATCCATAATTGCTCATTCATTCCTGGCCAGTACAGTAACTCCTCACTTAACGTTGTACTTATGTTCCTGAAAAATGTGACTTTAAGTGAAACAATGTTAAGCGAATCCAATTTCCCCATAAGAATTAATGTAAACGAGGGGGTTAGGTTCCAGGGAATTTTTTTTCACCAGACAAAAGACTATATTATATAACACACACACACACACTCTCTCTCTCTCTCTCTCTCTCGCGCTATAAGTTTTAAACAAACAATACTGGTACACGGTGATGATGATTGTGAAGCTTGGTTGAGGTGGAGGAGTCAGAGGGTGGGATATTTCCCAGGGAATGCCTTTTGCTAAATTATGAACTAGCAATTGGCTGAGCCCTCAAGGTTTAACTCTCACACTCTACAAGGCAGCAGGAAAGGAGGGAGGGCAGACAGACACACCTTGTGTGTGTGTGAGAGAGAGAGATGCACATTTCCCCTTTAAGTATGAAGAGTGGGGTCAGAAGTACACTGCCTTGTTAATTAGATCAGCAAGCTGAGACCAGACTGCAGCTGCTGCTGCCTGGAAGCTCCCTCTGTCGTGTGTCCCCTCTGCAATATGGAAGATGGGGTAAGCAGGGTGCAGGAGCAGGGGGGAGGGGGACACCCTGACATTAGCCCCCCTCTTCTTCCCCTCCCCCCGCACAGCAAGCAGGAGTCTCAGGGAGCAGCACCAAGGCAGAGGGCAGGAGCAGCACATGGCAGTGGGGGGAGGGACAGCTGCAATTGATAGCCTGCTGGGCAGCTGCTGCACAGGGAACTTGGGGGAGCAGGGAGCTGATAGGGTAGGGTTACCATATTTCTACAAGCAAAAAAGAGGACACTGGGGGGGAGGAGCCCTGCTCTAGCCCCGCCCCTGCCCCACCCCCATCCACTCCCTCCCACTTCCCACCCCCTGATTGCCCCCCTCAGAACCCCCAACCCCCCGCTCCTTGTCCCCTGACTGCCCCCTCCTGGAACCCCTGCCACTAACTGCCCCCTAGAACCCCACCGCTTA